CATGATGATGATGATGATGATGATGATGATGATGATGATGATGATGATGATGATGATGATGATGATGATGATGATGATGAGACACAAAGTAGGAACTTGCAGACGGATATTTTTTCCCTCTTTCAGTTCAAGATTTCCGAGAGAGCCTAGAAGAAAGAAATGCCTAAACTTTCAAAGAAAATTAAAGTTCAAGGAAACCAAAGGGGCAATATTAACGTGCGAGAATTTTACACCCAGGGAGTATTTGGGACTTCATGATAGTAAGACAAAGTCACGTGATATACTGAACTCACATGACATAGTTATTTCCTAAAACATAATATAGTACTATGACTATGATTATGATGAACAGCTTATTAAATCTTCCGTACACAGAACCTGAAGATTTCAACTTCCTTCACATTTGTCAACCCATTCTTGTAACAAAACAAACATCTCCGTGGTTAAAACATGACCTACATGGAAAGTGTGTACACATGTATATTGTATAAAATAATAGAATACCAACAAGCTTTTGAATGCGTAAAAAAATAGTTCAGACTGACCGTCGATGCTATAAGGCCATTTTACAGGACACCCGAATGCCTTTCTTCTCCATTCGGGCAGTGGTCATTATATATAAATGTGTGTATAATATATATATATATGTCAAAATATTTACACCAAGAAAGAAACAGAGATCACAGAATTGGAAATAGAAACAAAACACGCTTCCCTCAGACACACACAGAGCCAGCTCTTGAGCTCCGAGAGAGAGAAAAAAAAGTAAAATTATATTTACAGTAAGAAACAGAGATATCAAAAGTGAAAATGATCTCACCGGCAGACAGAAAGCGTCTTTTGACAATTCTGCATGATGAACAGACAATTCTGCATGATGAACAGACAGTTCTGCATGATGAACAGACAGTTCTGAATGATGAACAGACAGTTCTGCATGATGAACAGACAATTCTGCATGATGAACAGACAATTCTGCATGATGAACACATCTTATTTGTAAAGGGAGAAACCATTGAGCAGTTCTGTGACAACCATGATTAATGACCCACGATTCACAAAGCCACAGAAAGCGAGGAAAGAGAGTAGTGTGAAAAAGGTTATGGTGAAATCCTTTGACCTTTGACTGTATGCAGAATCCAAAGAACAGGTCTCTTTCAACAGAGTATAATATGTCAGGAAAAATGGCGGAATGGTATGGGCTGAATGTCCCTATCAACACCAAAAGGTTATTTAAGAGGCGGGACCTCCGAGTTTGACGTCCATCTCCGAAAGGACCAAGCCTAATTGGTCGCTTTTAAGCACAAGGGGGCTATCCCGAAAAATGCTGTTTTGAGAAAATCGAAGGTAAAGTTTTTGCCCCTTGTTCAGTTTCTTTAAAAGACAAGGAGAGTTTTCTCTAGAACTCAACAAATATACACCCCAATAAAACCAAACTTCTCCTATAGGTAGGGCAATGCTCACTTTTGGTGTAGGTCAAGATTCCTGGAAACCCCAGAAATCTGGGTTAGCCCACTTGTTCTTAAAAGCGACCAATTACAAATAAGGAACTTGTGTAAAATGCCTTTCCCAAGGACGCAACGTCGGACCGAGCTGAGGTTCGAACCCTCGAGCCCGGGATCTCACGATTTATGAGTCCAGTAGCCTCCCCACTAGGAGACAGGCGTACGTAGTATGCTGCAGCGAAAGCAGTTAGGTGACTTTACATAGCAGGGCTTTTTGCCGAGTGGGAACAGAAAACATCAACTTAACACCCATAAAACGGAAGGAAAGAAAACATCAACTTAACACCCATAAAACGGAAGGAAAGAAAACATCAACTTTACACTCATAAAACGGAAGGAAAGAAAACATCAACTTTACACCCATAAAACGGAAGGAAAGGAAACATCAACTTTACACTCATAAAACGAAAGGAAAGAAAACATCAACTTTACACCAATGAAAAGGAAGGAAAGGAAACATAGACGATAAATGAGTTATGCATCATTGTATGTTAATACAAGAGTTATTGTTCGTGTCTTTCATCCTCTTATAATAATGACAACTATGATAATCATAATAATAATAATAATAATAAC